ATCTATATATATATATATATATATATATATATATATATATATATATATATATATATATATATATATATATATATATATATATATATATATATATATATATATATATATATATATATATATATATATATATATATATATATATATATATATATATATATATATATATATATATATATATATATATATATATATATATATATATATATATATATATATATATATATATATATATATATATATATATATATATATATATATATATATATATATATATATATATATATATATATATATATATATATATTTATCTACTGGGCCATCTAGAGCTTTCTTCTCAATAACGAAAGGCACTCTTCTTTAATGGTACCATCTCTTCCCTTTTCCTTTTGTTGTTCATCTACAAGAAATAGAAACTGTTTCTAAAATATAAATTTCAGGTGTTGGTTAGGACAAAAACTTTTTTTAATATAGAAAATATTCATTCTATTACGTGCTTTTATTTAGAACATGACTTAGAAAAGCCTTTAGGCTCAATAGTCAGTGAAGTCGTCAATCTGGCAACCTGCACTTGTGTGTATTTTGAACCATGGGTGCAAGACCTAGTTCAACCACTGGGTGTCAAATTTACATACTGCATCTTTAAACTTGTGTAAATACCTGTTTTACATTGTAATTATGATTGATTAAAAAATTTAAAATGTAAATTAATGTGCGATTAATTTCTGTAATTGCATCTTTAATTACATCCTACACCTTAACCCACACTTACTTTTTCCACGTCCTACTGAAAGTTCACCTTTTTTTAAAGCATATTACAAATGAATAGTGCAGCTGCCCCAAGGAAATAAAAGACAAATAGCACATACTGTTCACACATTCCAGCACGAAACATAAAAAATGACCTCCTTTTGTGTGTGCTGTCAGCTGAGGCCTGTTTAGATGTCACTGGGAACCCGTGTCACAATGACAATGTCAGATAAAGGTATTTGCTATAACAACCATAGTAGTTTACCGGAACAGACCATCAGTTCAAACCTCACCGTGTCTTTTGGCTTCAAGATCATCTTCAGGATTTTCTCTGTAAAGAAGAACAGGTAGAATCCTCCAAACACGACTGCGGACTTGGGCACATAATAATCCTCCATGGGGTCAAACCCGAAGGCCTACATACAGGGAAAAAAAAAATTTGTGATTTCAAATAAAGCTTTTAATTTTAAAGAAAAAATAATATAGCATTGTAATTAAGGTCAAATTAAGAAATAATGTTTTTATTATTATGAAATATATTACAACATTTAATATAAATGGTGAATTACATTACTGTTCAGATGTTTGGGGTTTTGTTTGAAGAAATTAGTACTTTTATTTAGCACACAAAAGTTAGTTCACCCAAAAAAGATTTTTTCCCCCCTTTTACTCTCCTTCAAGTGGTCCCAAACCATTATGAGCATTATATGTGTGTGTGTGTGTATGTATATGTATATACACACACACACACACATTTTTATTTTTTAAATGTTGGAAAACCTGTAACTATTGACTTTCATAGTAGGAAAAACAAAAACTATGGAGGTCAACGGTTACAGGTTTTCAGCCTTTTTTAAATCTTCTTTTGTGTTCAGCAGAAGAAATTAAAATATGATAAAATAACAGAATTTTCCATTTTGGGTGAACTATCCCTTTATTTATCCCTTTATAAATTGCATTATTACAATTTTCCACTGCAATATTACTTTGAGTGATTGAATGAAATGTCCCTTGATCAGCAGGATCATGTGACATTAAAGACGAGTAATAATGCAAAAAGAATAATTCAACTTTGAATCAGATGAAGTAAATTGCATTTTAAAATATAAATAAAATAAAAATCAGTTGATTCATATTGTAATGATATTTTACATTTTTACTGCAAAACAACAGGCTTTTTTCCCAATTAAATCAATAAAAATGTAAATATAAATAAATTTAAATATATTTAAATATAAATAAAACAAAAATCAGTTGATTTGGTAAAAAAAATTATATATATATATATATATATATATATATATATATATATATATATATATATATATATATATAAACAAATGAAAAAACACATTTAACTATAAATAAAATAAAAATCCGTTGATTTAAATTTTAGTAATATTTCACATTTTTTTTTACTGGATTTTGATCAAATGAATGAAGCCTTGGAAAAAATACAACAGGCTTTTTTTTTCTAATTAAATCAATAAAAACTTTTATATAAATTAAAATATAAATGAAAATCAGTTAATTTAATTGTAGTAATGTTTAAAACAATTTACTGCATTTTGTTCAAATAAATGAAGCCTTGGGAAAAAAAACAACAGGCTTTTTTTTATTAAATTAAAAAAAAAATCTGAATATAAATAAATTAAAATATAAATAAAAATCTGTTGATTTAAACTGCAATAATATTTCACATTTAACTTAATTTTGATCAAATAAAGCCTTAGACAAAATAACAGGCTTTGTTCCTTCTACTTAAATAAATAAAAACAGAAATTATCTAAACTCTTAGAAAAGTAGTGCATATATAACATTTATAAAAGTGTACATATAATGGGTTTAAAAAAAAAGTGAAAAAAAATATTAATCAAAACAGAAGCCTCTAATCACTCTTCTAGAAACCAGAAAATAAATGTTTTTTTTATATGCAAAAGTGGTACTGTTAAACATATTATTGATTTACCAATTGAGAAGGCTTTTGCAACTGTATTTAGATTACAATTATTTTCACACTTGTTTAAACAACATCTAAAAGAGTGAGCATGGCATTTATTTTAGGCTGTTTTGGTTTTGTGTGATGCCTCAGGGCTTCCCCCTTTTTGCCTGGCTTCTCGCTTCTGTCCTTTCACAATTTTCCACAAATTAGAAGGATTGGCCATGATTTATAGGTATTAATATAAATAGTTCACAAACAGAAATGCTCTAATTTTTGACACCTTGCCTCAAACACTGTATTAGTGTAATGGACATTACAGTGATTTCCCTAAAAACTCAACTACAAAAAGAATGGATCAATATGAAGTTCTCCATTGACTTCTTTTACTCTACTTTCTAGCCCTCCAGCAGGGGAGAACCACTGAGGCCAAGAAGACTTATGTTTGCGCCTAAAGGAAACATTTACCTGAAAATGAAAATTCTGCAATTAGTCAATCACCCTCATGCTGCTCCAAAACATTTTTTTTTTATGTGGACAACATGAACAGATTTATGTTGAACAGTTTATGTATATGAATTGAATCTGTCAGCACCTTTCAAACAGTTTGAGAAAATTCTAAAAAAAAAAATTATGTATAATGTAAATATGTAAATAAACATATTAGAATACTTTTCAGGCCTGTAGCCAGGGGGGTTTAGGTGGTTCGAAGACCCACTCCTTGCTGACAAAGGTCCAGAATTTGTCCCATACATGAGCTCATTTGTCCTATTGTGACTGCTATGCCATTATGAATAGTGAAAAAAAACATAGACAAAGGCACCAAGCAGAATAAACTGTCACTTTGGTGTGACTTCAGCTAATCAGTTTTGACCAATGCCAACAAATATTTTCATTTTACAATCTAATGTAAGAGAGGTCCTCTTTCACTACTGTTAAAGTACAGGTAAAAGTTACAGGTAACTTTTATTCTAAATCGTGGAGCTTAATCTCAAAAAAAAAAAAAGAAAAAAAAAGCAAGCAATAAAAAAGTGCACACTCAGAAATAAAGGTACAAAATCTGTCACTGGGTCAGTACCTTTTTAAAAAGGTACACTTTTATACCAGAGAGGTGGACAATAGTATGTTTAGGGAACACGTTAGTATTTTTAAGGTTCACTTTTGTACTTTTAAGTTACTATGAAGTACACATTTGTACTTTGGGGGTATTAAAATGTACTTTTAAGGAACTGTTAGAAAAAAAAAGACTTTTAAAAGGTACCGCCTTAGTGACTGATTTTGTACTTTTATTTGAGAGTGTGTGAAGCACCAAAGGCGAACCATATTAAAATGAATTTGAATACTTTGGCTATTGTTGTTAACCATGAATTTTTAATTGTACTTTTTTTTTTTTTTTTTTTTTTTTACAAGAGAGGCTAGAAAAATCGTGAAGCTTATTGTGAAGCTTGTGATGGCCAAGGAAAATGCTGGGCAGTTTGTTATTTGTCAAATAAATAGACAACAGACTGCAGTTTATAATTTAAAACTTTCACAGAATCCAATATTTTTCTAATGATGTATGATGTGATATTTGTTTTAAAAATAAGTAATATTTCATATTTATTATAAATAATTTATGAAATATTTTTGGTACATTAAAAAGTGTGGTTATGTTGATCATCCAACTAGTTAATTCAGCTAAAAATATAATAACTGCATAAGGTCAACTTTTTGAGAAGAAAAAGGAACACCTTTTACTAGGCTACCTACAGCCCTGTTTTCTCTCTTTTTGAGAAAGTATGTGAACATTTATTCAAAATTTGGGGATACTGCGCGCACGCATGCACACACACACTAAAATTTCTACTATGATTTACTAAATTCATAAAACATTATTCACTAAAAATTCAATATGAAATTATAAAAGAAATTCAGAGTTGGATTATAATTTGGAGTCATTTTATAATTTGCATATGTAACGGAGGCCAGCTAGTAAGTGCTGTGCAGATAAACCTTGCTCCTCTGATCTCTGAAGTTGAACGACAGACGCTAGAGGCCAGGGTCACCAGAGCAACCCCTTCCATGTGGAGAAGGGGTAACACATACAAATGTGAAGGTAAAACCTAGATAACAAAAAGACGGTCACTTGAGACGGTCAAAAATGGACAATCAACACTGTTTCAGTGCTCACTATCTAAAGCCTATGATTGGCTACTCTGTTTATAGTGGGAGGCATGTTTGTACAAGCTTAAAAAAATAACTATTTAAATTCACTGCGATCATATGAAGAGTTCAGATGTGAATGAGCATTTTCAGCCGGGCTCCTATCATTTTTTTTTTAGAAGTTTCATATTATATGTGATGGTAAGGTTATTAGCAAGTAGATAAAATACCTTTTTTCAAAAATGTCACTTTAGACATTTCTATAATTACTAAATTTCCACTTCTAGTTGCACTTTTTAATATTTATTTTCATATTTACCAAAAAAAAAAAATTGTTAATCTTCAACCCTGATTTCTGATAAGTTTTCTTGACTGTGCAACTCTTTAGAAGGTATTTTATGCAATAAGTCTGGAACAGCATGAAGGCGACTAATTTTAGCATTTTCGTTTTGGCTCAGCTTCCTTTAAAGGTCAAACTCTACACATGTAAACTCAACCAGAACTTCTCTAGCTCTAGAAAGATCTAGAGAGTGCTGAAGCGGAAGTGTCTTCAGTCTGGTTGTGTGGCACACGTCTGCAGACCCCGTTTCCCCCACGTGTGCACTCTACCTCTGGGATTAGTTGAAAGAGGGCGTTGGAGTACAGAGTACCAATGGCCAGGGCAATGAAGTACAGCAGCAACCGCTTGTAAAAGGTTTTCCTCATGAAGGGAACCACACTCGCCCCGACCAGTGAACACAGAGATATCACTGTCACACACAGCAAACCATAACCCCACACTGGCCGAAACAAACCATGAGAAAGAGAGAGAGAGAGAGAGGAAAGAAAAAGTAGTGAAAACAGTGGGGAAAAAGAAAGAAAGAACATTTGAATTAATCAGCAGAATAATTATGACTAGGTGAAAAGTTGATATTCATAATCACAATCCTGAGATTTATTGCCTGAAGGGAAAAATGCATTATGTTTTGCAGGCCACTGAAATTAATTCATGCAACCAAGGATACTTACCATATTTTAACCTTATTAGCAAATCACATTTTAAAAATATCTTTAAAGGTAGATTTAAGATTAATTTATGTCATCAATTAACAGCAATCAATCATAAACATTTCAGAGTCATGCCATTCAACAACTGTTTAAAAGTTTGGGGTCTGCAAGATTTTATGTTTGAATAAAAAACTCTTATGTTCAATAAGGCTGTATTTATTTGATAAAAAATATAATAAAAGTTATACAAAATAAAATAATATAAATGAATGAATGAATATGAATTAAGATAAATAAATATAAAAAACAAGAATGAATGAATGAATGCCAAAATTTATATAAAAAATATATATGAATGAATATAAATGAATGAATTACCTAATTAATATAAATATGAATATAAATTAATTTAAATTAATGTGAATAAATGGATGAATATAAATAAATTTACACCAATGAATTAATTAATATTAATATGAATGAATGACCAAATTAATGTAAATATGAATACGAATGAATAAAAATGAACATGAATTAATGAATATAAACATACATGATTCAATATAAATGAATTATTATTAATATGAACGTATGAATGAATATGAAGATCAAATTTAAACAAATCAATAAATATGAATGAATTAAAATTATCATGAATGAATGAATGAATGAATGAATGAATAGAAATGAATGAATATTAATATGAACAAATGAATGAATATGAATGAATGACCAAATTAATATAAATAAAAATGAATTAATTTTAATATGAATGAAATAATATAAATTAATATACATGAATGAATATAAATAAATGAATATTAATATAAATGAATGAATGAATGATCAAATTAATATAAATAAAATGAATTAATTAATATTAATATGAAAAAATGAATATAAATATACCTGAATTAAAATAAATGAATTAATATTATTATGAATGAATGACAATGACAGAATAAATATAAATAAATATGGTAGAATATAAAGGAATTAACATTAATATGAATGAATAAATGAATGACTATAAATAAATATGAATGAAAATAAATGAACTAACATTAATATAATTAAACGAAAGAATATAAATAAATATGAATGAATATAAACAAATTAACATTATTATAAATGAATGAATGACAGAATGAATATAGTTAAATAAATCTAAATTAATATAAATAAAGCAACATTAATACGAACGAATAAATGAATATAAATAAATATTTATGGATAAACAAATTAATTACTATTAATATGAATGAATGATCAAATTAACATAAAAAGAAATTTGAATGAATATAAATGAACTAATATTAATAAGAAGAAACAAATTAATATGAGTGAATAGATAGAAATTCATGAATAGTAATACAAACAAATTAATGAGTATGAAAGAATGACTGAATATAAATAAGAATAAATTTGAATTAATTAATAATAATATGAATGAATGACAGAATTAACATATATAACTAAATATGAATGTTTGTAAATGAATTATTATGATTGAATGAATGAATAGACCTAATTAAAATAAATAAATAAATAAATAAATAAATAAATAAATAAAATAAATAAATAAAAGACACTGAAAAAAATGCAGGGTTCCACACAATTAATTAATGTTGGCCTAACACAAATCAATTATAAAAATAAAAAATAAAAAAAAACTAAACTAAAATAAGTAATTTGAACCAGTAGCATTTTTATTTGAGTATACGCACATATACATACATTACATAATATTTTGTTGTTTTTTTACAGAATTCTTTGAAGCTAAACAATATTTACCGTCAATATTGATTCATTTTATGCAGCCTTGTTGCATAAAAGTATTTTAAAAATATAATGCTGACTCCAAACCCTTGAACAGTTGTGTGCTGTTCACATCATTAAATCCATTGTGTTTCATTCACAGAGGAATAGATGAAGGCGGCTTCCTGTTGATGTCACAGAACAAAATAATGCTTTGAGAGGTTTCAGGGACCATGACGTTAGCTTTGCTCAGCTGTTCCATAATACCATGGCAACAAAGAGTGATTAAAAGTCAAGCTGCCTTCACGTTACTTAAAATCCAAGATTGGAGCAAACTAAACAGAAACTTAACTGGCTAACCGTGTTAGGGTCTCAGGTCAATGAAAATCCTTCAAGCCTAAAGCGATAAACGATGATTCTCTCCATCCTCTTTAACTACGTGCATCCTGAGGCAACAAAGAACCATAAAAACCTGCATTTATGTTGACCATTAACAACCCAAACACAAAACGGATACCTGTAGCTCAGATTAATCAACAATTCAACAAAGGACACTTGGGAAATGTAACACTTCATTGGCTCATTTAAAGTGGATGGGATCTCAGTAAGCAATGAGCCAGTGAATAAATGTACTGTTTGGGTGCACACAATATGTTCAGTTGCCTTGAACAATGCCGAAGCACGCTTGTCCCCCCTCCCCTCTCCCTTGACGGCTTGCACTCACATTGTATCCGAACCTGAGCATGCTTGCGTCATCGATAATGCACTGTTCAGTTTACCAGGAAGAGAAGCGCCCTCGCTCAGCACAGTGGAGATTTCTTTCGTTATATCATTTTAGTCGTTTGGGATGCAGTGAAACGCAGTCGAATAATTCGCCAAACAGAAAAGTCACTTTTGACGCTCATTAATGATCATAAAAGTCCTCGTGCTGCAGGGATTCTGAGCAATGAGGGGTTTGTGTCTTTAAAAAATCATGACCGTTTGCGTTCATTTAACAGTAAGAATGATAAATTGACACATATGAAACATTCCCTTAAAAGTGACGTCTCGTCTTCAGTTTCAGGCTGAGCCCAAATTAACTGTGCTCTAGCACACCTGTTGCAACCAGGCCAGGCCCGGCTTACTAAACCGCACCTGAGCCAATTCAGAGCCAAATATCAAATATTTCGCTGAACAGATCAGCCACTTTTAACACTCACAAACAATCATAAAGTCCTCGTGCTGCAGGAATTATGAGGTTTGCTGAAGGCATATCTGTCAACATTGGGATGTGAAAATAAGGGATATGCCCACCATAATAAGGGCCCCCATCCCCTCCCCCCGAGCCTTTAAAAAATCCCCAAATTACTAAATATGTTCATTTGGCGCTGTTTTATTGTAAATATCCAGTTAAATATACAGTGGTGTGTATTTTTTATGAGGATTGCATGGGAGGGGTTACGGCACCTGCAATGAAAAGGAAGGGGGATGGCGTCGTTTTTATATTTATTTCAAAGTGTTTTCTTTCTAATCAAAGCGAAAGCACAAAACAGACTCATATTTAAGAGCAGGGGGCGGCCCCTGGTGGTTCGACGGTATGGGTTGTTTATAGGGAGGCTCGGCTCTTTAATTTCTAGTTGCCACCCTTCAGAGAAAGAGTGAAAATACGGGAGAAATACAGGAAAATACCTTTACGGAATGATAGCAGGATAGAACTATAGAATACGGGAGAATCTCAGGAAAAATGGGAGGGTTGACGGGTATGTGAAGGTGCGCAGCTGTCGTGCAGTGAGGGGTTTGCGTCTTTAATAATCGACGACAGTTTGTGTTCATTGAACAGTACGAATGATTAATAAATCCATATCAAAGCCCCTTAAAGTCACGTCTCACTTTCAGTTTTGGGCTCAGGAGCATTTTGCACTCACATGCAAGCGTACCGTGCCAAAGCCCAAGTGAACCGGGCTCAGGCACACCTCTTCCAACCGGGCCAGGGCCCGCCAAGTGAACCGTGCCTGAGCCCGATTCAGAGCACTCACACTTCTCAAATAATCTGGGAAACCGGCCTGGGCACGGTTCCTGTAGCATAGTGTGAACTTTAAAGACCATATTCAGGAGAGAGGAACCCACTGAAAAGTGGGAAGTGGCAAATTAAAATGAAAGCTATTACAATAGTAGCAAAAAAAGTAAAAAATAAAATAAAATAAACAAACGTAAACTCTCCTACAGCTTGCAAGATACGTTCAGTAAACTCTACATTAGGCCACTAAACTAAAAGCTGTAAAGAAAAAGAAATATGTATTAATTGTAAAATGAAATGAAAATAAACAGTGTAAAGTGTTTTTATTTATACATAATAACATTGTAAACTAAAAATAAACAAAAATTGAATTGTTCTATCATTTTTACTTTTTTTTTTTAAGAAGACTTTTAATATTTGGCAAGGCCACAGAAATAAAACTGCTCCTTGAGAAATCTACAGAAATATCAATTATAAAATGAGTATTTATTTCTTAATTAAAGTGTTATATAGAAAACAGAACATAAAAACTGTTTAAAACTAAAGATCTGATTTCATCAATTCACAGTTCTGACCTGCAAACTGTGAACAGTTTAAAATGTACATTTTTACACAAGATTATGCACTTTAGAAATTATTAATAAGATTGTTGAATTAATTATCTGTTAAAGCAAAGATTTTAAGGGGGTTCCATCAGAACCTATTAATGTGCTTTTGAGTCATCATTTACAAAAGGAGCATCTCTATAAATTAATACTTTAATTAAAAATAAATAAAAATAAATAAATGAATTAATAAATACACAATTAATACAAAAACATGCATCATTTCATCTGGACCGATTAATGAGCAAACATTCAGTCATAATTAAAAATAGAAAATGAGGGCTGTTAAATTAACAATTATGAGTAATACAGACTTTGAGCACAAACACAAAAAAAGAGTTAATATTATATAATGATTTATGATCATAAAATGTTCTAACAAATCACTTATGAATGAAATAAAGGCAATAGGAAAGGAAAAGTTTAAGTAAGAGAATTAAAAAAAACACCAAACCAAGAGATCTCTTTACTGTGGTTAGGGGTGTTTTTTCTGTGTCTTAACAGGAGAAAACACTTTGTGAAGGAGGAAAGAAGGAGGGAAAAAGGCGGCAATTCCAGACACCCCTCTGAGAGTAAGCTTGATCTGCGGCTGATTGGGTGTGTTTGGGTGGAGATGTTTAGATGGATACTGAACCTCAGGCAGGAGCTGCAGGATGGCGGTGGACAACAATGTTCCAATGGACAGAGCGATGAAATAGACCAGAACTCTGCGCATGAACCGCGTCCTCATCAGGGGCACCACAAACACACCAGTCAAAGCGAACGCACTAACCAGAGTCACGCTCAAAATTGAGTAACCCCACACTGCAGGACACACACACACACACACACACATATATATATATATATATATAAAAAAACCTTTAATTACATCTTACACCTCAGCAGTCACATCCCACAGCCACTGTGTGCAAGTGTATTATGATATACTCTTGCGTCCGGCAGAGCTGCTCAGTTAGTATTAACCCAGTCAGACTGGAATCTCTGGAAATACAAGATATCAGTCACAAACACAGCCCTGAATGGACACGTGTGGCGTTTCTGTGAGTGTCATTATGTGTGTGTAAACTGTGTGTGTGTGTATGCAGATCAAATATCAGCTGGCGTTCTTTAAAACCACAGTCGCATTTGTTTACAGTGGAGAACAGCTGTCAGCAGTTCACTCGACCTAGAACAAATAAATCATTGAGAAAACACACACACACACAGATGCATTTGGGAAATATATTGCTGTCATATAAAAGTTCATAACTTCAGTGATTAAAAGTGCTATATTGAATGTTTGCATGTACAAAAAAACACTGATGTTTAATTGAAACAGTGTATGAGACTTTTTGTATTATGAGAAGCTCCTTTGGGAGAATTCTCTATTGTATACCCTCGCACCCAAAACATAAATAAATAAATAGGTACACAAGCAGTCACTGTGGTGATTCCCCTTACAAAAGATACACATATATACCTGAAGGGTCCTTATTGATACCTTAAATATACATATCATAACCTAGAAAATTCTAAAAGTAAACTAGTGTACTGTTCAAGTATTAAAATATACATTTAAGGTCTCAATAGACTTTTAGGTACAAACGTGCACCTTTGAAAAGGGGGTATGACCACAGTGACAAGTGTTTACTTTTTGTTCTGACAGTGTGGCATAAAAATACACCAAGATCAATCATTAATTTTGTCCATGGTTTGAAATAAACTCGAAGGTAAAGTTTGCCTACTAAAGTTTTTGGCCATTTAGAACTACTAGCCAAGACAAAACAAGCGATGCACAGTATATCAAGAAGTCATCGAGTTGGGCGAATAAGATACTAATCAAAGCTCTAATGGTCTTATCAGGGAAGAACGGTGTGATTAGTAACTGATTTCATTGATTCGGCATGATTAATAAATCACGCAACTAGGATTTTGCCGGTATTAACTATTCTTGTTTGATTAATTGTTGCAGCATTCATCACAGTATAAGGTATTACAACAGTAATAATAATAATTAATTTAACAGGTATAATGACCAAAGCAAGTTTGAACATTGTATTGTATGTGCACATAGATAGCTAGCAAGAATTAAACCTGTTAATTGACAGTCATAGTTAGCTGAAACTCATGTTCCTAGAAACATCCTATTGGTTCAGTGCTGAACATGCTAGTGTTGAGGGGTATTCTACAGGGGCAGAAGTGGCCTAATGGACGTACAGACAGACGTTAAATATCAAAATAGACTTTTGAAGTCCAAAACATCTTTAAAAGAGAACCACAATGACAGTGTGTACTTTTGTTCTGACTGTATAGTATAAAAATAATTAATTTATAATTAATAAGTAAATAATTAATTTCATCATTATGCCTGTTAAAAATAGGTCTGTCTTTCTCTATTGATGTTGTAAAAAATTAAAAGTTGACTCAACTTAAAATTGTAAGGCAACTAGCTGCGCAGCTTTTTTGAGTTGTCTTAAATTGAGCCAAACTTGGGTTAAAAGTTATCTTACAATTGTAAGTGGAGTCAATATTTTTTTTGACAGTCTATAAATATCCATCTATATCGGCAGCATGGTGGCTCAGTGGTTAGCAATGTCACCTCACAGCAAGAAGGTCGCTGGTTTGAGTCCCAGCTGGACCAGTTGGCATTTCTGTGTGGAGTTTCCATGTTCTCCCCGTATTGGCATGGGTTTCCTCCGGGTGCTCCAACAGTCCAAAGTCATGCGCTATAGGTGAATTGGGTAGGCAAAAATTTATGTGTATATATGTCTGTGAATCTGAGATTGTTTGGGTGTTTCCCACTACTGAGTTTTGGCTGGAAGGGCATCCACTGGCTAAAACATATGCAGGAATAGTTGCCGGTTCATCATGCTATGGTGACCCCTGATAACTAAGGGACTAAGACAATGAATGAATGAATGAATAAATATCTATCCATTCATTCATCTATATATCCACCACAGTGTCTATCCACACATACATCTTTCCATCTATCTGTCTGTCTGTCTGTCTGTCACATTTTTTTAAATAATTTTTATTCATGTCTTTCATCCTAGTGACCCATTTCTAATAATATAACCAATTAAGTATTCAATATAGGTGTTAAAAAATTATCTGACAAAAAGTCACAACAAATGTTGTGTTACTTCAATTTAAAGAGTTGAAATCTTCATTCATTCATTCATTCATTCATTCATTTTCTTGTCGGCTTAGTCCCTTTATTAATCCGGGGTCACCACAGCAGAATGAATTGCCAACTTATCCAGCAAGTTTTTACGCAGTGGATGCCCTTCCAGCCGCAACCCATCTCTGGGAAACATCCACACACACTTATACACTACGGACAATTTAGCCTACCCAATTCACCTGTACTGCATGTCTTTGGACTGTGGGGGAAACCGGAGAACCCGAAGGAAACCCACGTGAAGGCAGGAAGAACATGCAAACTCCACACAGAAACGTCAACTGAGCCAAGGTTCAAACCAGCGACCTTCTTGCTGTGAGGTGACAGCACTACCTACTGCGCCACTGCCTCGCCAGTTGAAATCTTATTAACTCTTTAAATTAGTTTAAAGTAACATTTGTCATCCCTGTCTTTGTCATGACTTCGTTAGATTATAGTATATATATATATATATATATATATATATATATATATATATATATATATATATATATATATATATATATATATATATATATATATATATATATATATAAA